TAATAAATAAAAATTTTAATGACTGGGTTTTTTCTTCTTTGAAAGACTTCTACTGTCTAGAATTCTCAAAAGAAAAATATCTCCAAACAGTATGCTCTGGATTTGGGGAAATATTTGTTATTTCTTGGCATATAGAAAAGCATAATACCCTTTTTACCCAGATCAAGTGGGTTTTTTTTTCCTTTGTATTATATATTCTACCTTTTATGTTTTTGTTCATGAGCTTTGATATAAAGAATTCATGTATAGTCTTGAGATCTTCTTTAAAAATTTACCAGTAATTACTAAGTGGAGAAGATAAATGGAGCACTGTAGGTATTTTACATTAGTTTGTCCCTTTGTTCTTATATTCTATAAACTAGCTGCAGAAATTACTCCCCTCTCCCTACATATTTCTTTGATTTCATTACTATGTGTGCAATCTGCTGTCTAAAGCAGAAAAATAGAAAATATCCTGAAGTCAAGTACACTTTCCAACTCCAGTTCAGAAGGATCTTTTGGAAAGACTAGAAAGATGAATGTTGATAATCTGATTGTGAGATTTGTGTTAACTGTTTAGGAACTGCCTTGTGGGTGTCTAGACAAAAGTGGGTCTTTAGATGGAACTTGCATAACACTGGAGCAGAGTTTTGGAGGACAGGATCTCATGTTTGTCTGGTCTCAGTGTATGGATCTACGACCATCTCACTGACACTGGAACTGGAAAAATTGTGAAGTTCCCTGTTAACATATCACTGAATTGCCCCATTCTTAGCATGTAGGACCAAAAAAAGGGTTAATTTATGCAGGACACTGTGCTGAAAATGCAGTGGCCTTGGTATTGTAACTTCAAGCAAGGACAAAAGGCCACTATGGTGCCCATGTAATAGAGGACAACTTTCTTTAGTCCTCCCCGTGACCTCTTCTAATGAGCAGATGATGTAGACCTGGACTTTGCATCCTAGTTGCTGAAGTCTTGCTGTCCAGTCTCAGCTTCCTAGGTGGGAGCTGAGGATTGAGTATCACATTACCCACATTTTGTGTGCAATGGAAGGTTTTTATCACAAGGGACACGTTGTGGAAGACCTAAAGGTTGTGTGTTGAATGCTGCAGATTGTGAAGCTGTTGCTTCGCCACGGTGGGAATCCATTTCAAGCCAATAAGCATGGGGAGAGGCCCGTGGATGTGGCTGAAACAGAAGAGCTGGAAATGCTGCTGAAAAGGGAGGTGCCCATCTCTGACGACGAGGAGAGTTGCTCAGGTAATGGGATTTGCATTTAATTGCATCCTCCAAGTGCATCAGTTCACCTGAAGTTGGGTGGGTTTAATCTTTTGCATCGTATTAGCTATTAAGAGTTGCTGCAAGTAGCAATTGCTCCTGCTAAGGTTGTTCTCCACTTTTAGCTGAAGAGGTATTTTTAAATCTTTCAGTTGAATTAACTGAAATGTTTATTCTGACTCTTCATCCTCCCTCTCTGAATTTAAAAAGCTCTTTCTTGCTCTCCAAATCAACTCTACCTCAGAATGGTGCTTTTCACAGAGGAAAATACCACATCTATTATGATACAAATAATTCAGAGTTACAAATTTGTTTTCTTGGGGGAAAATATCCCCAAAGTCACTTCTCTCACATCCTTAGTAGATGAATCAGGACCTAGTGTCTGATACCTGTGGGTATAACGTGGTTGCACTTAATCAGCAGCCTGCTCAGATGTGTAAAGATTCATGAGGGAATTTCTTTACAGGAGCAGCTCTTTGTCTTTTAAGAATGAAAGCTCATCTGCTGTTGAAACATGACTAAATAGTTCATGTGGAGGAATGCAGTTTAGTCATTAGAGACCACAGCAGTTGATGAATTCCTAAACAAATGAGTCACCATAGTAAGATGTCCTTGAGAAAGAGTCAGGCTAGGTAGGAATTATGCACCATAGATTGAGGTTTACAAAATTTAAAGGGCTTTTATTAGATGGGGGCACAAATGCCTATTTTTACATACCTGAGTGGGAGCTGTAAAGTGTGAGGAGCACTTTGGTTCATGACCTTTGGCTTTCTCTTAAAAAGCTTAACTCTAGTGAGGAGGTTTGTGTGTTTTGAGTCTGTGGGTTTTCCCCATTTTTACAGCAGTAGGACTGCTGAATGGAAATATTTTATCCTGAACTAAAATGTGAAGAATGTCTCAGAATTCAATATTTTCTCCATTCAATATTTTCAATATTCAATATTTTGGCTTTCTTACTCTAGATTCTGAAGAACCTCCATCTGTAAATCCTTCCAGTGTAGAGGGGAATGTTGATTCAGAAGTAGAAAAGGACTCTGTGGCCAACGACAGGAAACAAACAGTCCCCAGTAAGGCACCACCTCCATCTGCTCTGGATGAGTATGAGTTTAAAGATGATGATGAAGATGAAATGAAAAAAATGATTGATGACAAACATATTCTTAGAAAAGACCTAAGGAAAGAGGAGGAGGCTGAAGGTGAAAAGAACAGCCTGTTTGTGAAACAAGAGAAAGTTGTCTTTTCAAAATCATTCAAAAGCAAAAAGCAGAAATCATCTAGAGTTCTCTATTCAAGTTCTGAAAGTTCAGATGAAGAAATACTTCAGGACAAGAAGATAGTCTCTCCTTGCTCTGTTTCAGAGACCTCCAATTCTGATGTCAGAGTGAAAAAAGAATACATGGTTACAAATGAACACAAGCAAAAAGGCAAAGTTAAAAGGAAGGTAAAAAATCAGAGCAAAAACAAAGAGAATCAAGAATTAAAGCAAGAAAAAGAAAATGCCAGAGTAACAAACATAGCTACTTCAGCATTAGATTCTTTAGATAAAACTAGGGAGGAAGAAACCTTTAAGAAGTCTTTCACCCCAAAAGAAGACTCTTCTTTACATCTATTTCATATTGCTGCTGGCAAATCTCCAAAGCACCCCTGTGGATTGAGTGAAAAACAGTCAACACCTCTAAAGCAAGAAAACACCAAAACCTGCTTATCACCAGGAGGTTCTGAAGTCACTCTGCCCTCCGAGCTAGTCCACTATGATCACAACCCTGACTCTGAATATCTAGTGGAGAGTTCTAGTGGCAAGTCTTGCAAGCACAAAGAAAAAAGCAAACATCATCAGAAAGATTTTCCCCTGGAATTCGGGGAAAAATCTAGTCCTAAAATGAAAGAGGAAGAGAACAGCTCAACGTTGGAGAATTCGGAGTGTACTCTGAGAAAGATTGACAAGGATGGGAAAACACTCAAAAAGCATAAATTAAGGCACAAAGAAAGAGAAAAGGACAAGCACAGAAAGGAGCAGGACGGGGAGAAGGAAAAGCATAAACATAAAGAGAGTGTTAAAGAGGTTCAAAGGAGTATTGAGTTTGACAGAGAATTTTGGAAAGAGAACTTCTTCAAAAGTGATGAAAATGAAGATGCGTTGTTAAATGCAGAACAGGAATCTCTCTCTTCAGACAGAAAATCAAAGCTAGAAAAAGGTGTGGCAAAAGAAGATAAGTTAGTTAAGGAGAGACAGTTCCAGAAAGAGAGGAATGCTAAAGAGGAGAGGGAGAAGAACAAAAAGGATAATGAGAAGTTTCTCAAGGAGGAAAAAACAAAAGACACGAAAGAAGAAAAAGAAATGATGCTTGCAGATAAAGAAGTGGAATTGTTCTGCTTTGGTGCTAAAGATGATGCAGCCAGTGTGCATTTAATAGAGAAAGAAACAGATGCTGAGAAGCAGGAAAAGAATGTCAAGGAAAATAAAGAAAAGACTGAAAAGCGAACCTTGGCCAAAGAAAAAGATGCTGAAAAGACAGAAAGAAAAAATGGAGAAAAGGAGAAGAAGGTAAAGCTTGAATACAAGGCAGAGAAAGAAAAAGCAGAAGTAAATGAAAATACAGAGAGAGTAAAGGAGAAACCCAGTCCCCAGCAAGCAGAGAGATGCCATAAGGAAAATGAGAAGATAAAAAGCACGAGTGCTCTTAAAAAACCTGATGACAAAGAAAGAAATAAAGAGAAACCTGATAAGAAGCACGATAAAGAAAAGGCTGATAGACACTGGGCTGAAAGCAAAGAAAAACACTGCACTGAAAGAAAAGTCAAACAGGCTGAAAAGGAACCCGAGTACACAAAACCAGAAAAAAACAGAACTAAAGAGAAAGAACTTGAAAAAAAAGACAAATCCAAAGACAAGGAGACGTCAGCATCAGCAAACTCCAAGCACACGCAGGAGGAGAAGAGGTGTGGAGCTGCAGAAGGCAACAGGACAGCACATGAGAAACTTTCCTCAAAAGAGAAACCAAAAGATGATTTGTTGAGAACTCCAGATGGCAGAGAGAAGGATAAAAAAGATAAAGATATAGACCGATACAAAGAGAGAGACAAGCACAAAGACAAGCTGCATCAAAGCAGTTTGCTTAAACTGAAACTGGAACAGGAGAAACTTAAGCCTAAACCTGCTCCTGCCCCAAAGGATGCTCGGCCGAAAGAGAAGAGATTAGTCAACGATGATTTAATGCAAACGAGTTTTGAAAGAATGCTCAGCCTTAAGGATCTGGAAATAGAGCAGTGGCATAGAAAACACAAAGAAAAAATAAAACAGAAAGAGAAGGAGCGTTTAAGAAACCGTGCTTGTGTGGAACTGAACAAGGGGAAAGAAAAACCAAAACACCCGTTAGCCGAAGTCAAAAGCAAAGAGCTGACTCGTTCAAAAAGCTCAGAGCTGCCAGATGGTTGTGTGAAGGAAAAGCAGCTGAAGGATGCCACAAGTCATAGATCACAGTCAGTAGATACGAGAGGTGTCAGTGCCATGAAGCCTTCCTTGGGTTCAGACAGATCCCCCCGATCAGAGGGGGACAAAGCAGCTCTGAGCTCCAGGTCCGTGTTGGTGGTTTCAGCTGCCAGCTCCGAGGATCCGTCTCACACCACAGTAGCTACTCCAAGGCCTGTGATGGAGTATGACTCGGACTTCGTGCCAGAAGGTTCCGATTCCCAAACCCCCAGCTCCCAGTCACCGTTTTTGGCGAGTGCCAAATCACCAGCCCTCCTTGAGAAGGAGCCCGACGGCCTGGCCGAGCCGCCCGAGCGCCTCAAGGCGCCTTTCGCCGGCAGGGGCCCGCCCACCTACGTCAGGTCGGTGCCTGTGGAGGATGCCAAGCTGGTTTTGAGTGAGTGTAGGCCTGTCGTAGAGGTGCGAAGGTGCAGCGTGCCTGCTGCTGTCCCTGACCTCAGCAAGCAGCCACGAGTGTCAGAAGAAGAGCCTCAGAACGCTCTGCTGCCTGCTCAGACTTGCACCAGCGCCTCTCCTAGGCCAGAGCTACCGTGTGGCACGCTCCAGAGGGAGTTTCAAGGTAATTTGTCTGCTCTGCAGTCAAACTTCACATCCCCTCCAACTGGAGCTGTTGGCAACAAGCAGGTGACGATGGGTCCAGGCAGCATGAAAACCAGCTCCCAGGTGAGCCCCTCAGAAGACTCTACGATGCGTTCGGAGCTGTGCGGTCAGAGCTGTGTGAATCAGCAACCCAGCCCTTGGGATGTGCCTTTGGACAGACTCCCTGCATTAACCAAGGAGTTCAGCAGCTCAGGTTGTGCTGGGCCAGAGCAGGATCCTAACGGTGTTACAGCAATGCCTTGTTCTGAAAACAGGACAGTGAAAGAGCAACAGGTATCTGAATTTTTGCCTCAGCACGCTGACATGAAGGGGAGTTCCAGTTTTCAGGAATCTGCATCATTTTTGCCTTCACAGTCGCCTTGTTCTTTACCTATCCAGTCACTGCCAGATGTGTCCAAACACATTTCTTTACCAGGCATTAGCAGTCAAGATTCATCATTCACCCAACAACAAAATCTAGGTCAAGCTACAACTTCTGCCTTGGATACAGATGCTACTAGTACCAGAGAGCTGGGAAATGCTTTCTTCCCTTCAAGCATGAAGAAGGCTGAGCCACCCCTGGGCCTATATTCTGAGAGCTCTGTGAAGGATGTCTCCCAGAGCTGTGAAAGGGGGAATGATTTACCTACAGCACCACTAGAGAAAGATGCTCCTGAAAGTGAGAGTGGTTTGCAATTAAATGTAAATTCATACACATTGGGCAAAGTTGTTTGTAAGGGCACTCAGGTCGAAGTGGATGGTAGCACAGCAGATGCATCAGAGGTTAGAAGTGAAAAAGGCCACCTAGAAAAGTCAGTTTTGGTGCACATTGTTGATAGTAAGGCTGACCCTGAGCTCTGTGAACTAAGTTCAGGAGTGTCAAAGGGAATTATGAACGACTCAGCCAGTAAGAAGCCCTGCCCTGCAGACAGAGAGAACGTGCTGGTGGATGATCCACCACAGTACTCCTCCTCAGCTAATCCGGAGAATAGTTCACCACAGATGACCCAGGAAGAGGTGCATAAATTAGAAGAAGAAATCGCTGAGGATCAGAAGGTGGAACAGCAGGAGGTACCTCAGAGGATCACGAGGAACAGAGCGAATTTGCTGGCTAGCCAGGGGAAGCAGAATCCTCTGGGCTGCACCCAGGCAGCAGAAAGAGAGGCGGAGCCCTCGGCGGCGCTGCGGGCGCGGATCCGGCTGACCGAGGAGGAGGATGCCCAGGCCCACCACCCGCGCAAGAGGAAAGTGTCCCGCGTGCCTCAGCCCGTGCAGGCCAACCCCTCCCTGCTGCAGGCCAAGGAGAGGACCCAGCAGTCCCTGGCAGCCCTGGTGGATTCTCTGAAACTGGAAGAGATTCAGCCGTACAGCTCGGAGAGAGCCAACCCCTACTTTGAGTACCTGCACATCAGGAAGAAGATCGAGGAGAAGCGGAAGCTGCTGTGCAGTGTCATTCCTCAGGCACCTCAGTACTACGACGAGTACGTGACCTTCAACGGCTCCTACCTGCTGGATGGCAACCCCCTCAGCAAGATCTGCATCCCAACTGTAAGTAACCTGGGCTCTGGTTCTGGTTTTGGGTGCTTTCGTGTTCTTCCTAACCGGCTTCTGAAGGCTCGTGCTGAAAATAGTAAGCTGGCACATGTCAGATGAATGTTGGCCAGTGATGTGTTGAAAAAGGCTCATTCAGTTGAAATCTAAACAGTGGTTTCACAGTCATTGCAAGACAAAGCATCACAGGCTGGTTTGGGTGGGAAGAGACCTCTCCAGGTCACCTAATCCAACCCCCCTGCAGGGAGCAGGGACATCTGCAGCTAGAGCAGGGTGCTGATCCAGTGTGTGTCATGTGTGGATCTCATCCCACGTGTGACATCTGTAAAAGGCACACAGACAAGTATTACAGCTCAAAGTTTTTACTCCTGTAAAGCCTACCCGTTCCAAAGTGAAGTCAGGTGTTGAGAGCTGCTCCAAATTTCTGCTGGCAATAATTTGGTTAAGTTCATTGCTGTTCCATTTGGCAGGGAGGTGGATGTGCAGTGCTTCAAAATACTAAGTCCCTCAGCAGAAGCTGCTATACTGAAAGATACACAGAGTGGCTATAGCTCTCCCAGTTTCTCCTTAACACTGCTTCCTCCCCAGAAACATTCCAGGTGAGGTTGGCCAGGGAGGTGCCCCTCAAGGTGTATCAAGAGAACATGGTCACTGCAGGTCTCTGGTTTGAGGTGAGCATCATCATGGTAGCACCTGAATTGTGCTTCCCCTCCTTGCTCCTCACCACACCTACTTCTGTTCTTGTTGTCCTGCATGAGGGGACAGGAGAGACCCAAAACATGGTGCACTGAGGGTTTTCTGAAGTCCTGTCACTCCTGGGACTAGGAGAAGGTTTTCCATTTTTCCATTTTTTATGTGATCCACTTAAACTGCTCTAGTCCTGAGGTAAAGCCCAGCAGCTGGAACCTGCTGGAGTGGTTTGTTAGCCCCTGTGACAGCTGAAGTGAGCTGAGAGTGTGTGTCTGATGTCCCAGGGCAGTGCTCTGGCTGACTTACCCTAGCTTGGCAATGCCAGAACTCAGCAGCACTGGACTGTACACTCATTCCTTCAGATGTGCCAAGTTAGCAGGAGTCTGAGTTCAGGGGGAATGGCAGGAATATCTTAATCCTTGAAGGGAAAAATCCCTACTGAACTGAACTGTGTGAATCTTGGCTTCCTGCTGGAGGTAGGCATAATCCCTGTGTCTGCCCAAGAGAATTATACTCTTCATGTGGAGTTCTCTCTTATTTGATGGTGACCACAGTTGAGATGAGTAGATCAGTTACAATCTGAGGAAGGATGTGGGTGAGATGATGCTTTTCCTTGGTCTGGAAGTGAATTAGGATGTACAGTAAGCTTTACTACAGTGTACCAGGCTACAAATCTTTCTCAGTAGATATTGCAGCTTCTCTAATATGTCTTTATCACTGGAAGCAGGGATTTTTTCTTCTTATTTTTTAAAGTAGCAGCTACTAGTCAAGTACAGCCTGTTTCCAAGCTACAACTGACTGCTTTGGCAGCACCCCTCAGTGCTGAATTTGGGATAAGCAGCAAGAGGAGAAGCACAGCATGTATTTTGCCCTGGCCCATCTTCTACCTGGGCAGTAGAATTCCTTTTCCCTGGCATAAATAAATAGTGATAACGTGTGTAAGCACTGAAGAAAGGGAGGGATCTTGACATGGTATTAAAGTGCTGCCTCGTGCTGCTTTCCTGCCTCCCTGCTGTGTATAACAAGGGTCAAAAGAAATTTATGGTAGTGCAAATTGTTGAGTAACTTAGTTCCAAGAAAACATCAGAGATGAATGCATGCTCCCCATTCTCAATGGCTTTTAATTACCTGTTGCAATGAAAAACCTCTAAAAAAGGTTGAAAAAGGCTGACTGAGGACATGAAGGATTAGAGTTTTTATCTGGTTTTTATCTCACTCAGATTTGTGGGTTGCCTCCCTACACATACATGTTCTGGTGATGCTGATGTGTTAAACCATTGGTGGTTTTGTATATGCTGTTAATCCTGAAGAACAGATGGAGCTTTTTATTCCAGGCTGTTAGGAGGGAAAGGGAAGGAAAAAAAATTCCAAGGAGCCAAAATAAATGATTAGGAAGTTGGTGTGTGTTTCCATTAGGAGTAAAGTGTAAGAAAGCAGCATGAGTTTTAATCCAAACAGAGAGATATTTTCAACATTTTAGTTCTGTTTGTCTGAAGAATAGCCTACAATGCAGCTAAATGCTTTGTTTGATTCTTGTCACTTGAGTAAAGGCAGAATTTTGATAAATTGTCTAATGTTTCTTTCAAAAAAAAAAGATATCATTAAAAAAAAAACATGACATGAGTGTTTGTGTATTCACACACTGTGCAGCAGCATGGAAATCAGGGCTGCACCCAGGCTCTCCACAGATGCAGAACATTGACAACATGTACAGCTTGTCATACACAGACTGAGTCATTTAATGCAACTGCAAAATGACCTTTCTGTTGGGAATGGCTTCCAAATTTTTTCTGTGGTGACTCTTGAAGGATTCTCTGTTAACCTGGTTTTTGCTTTGTTATTTTACATAGAGCATCTACCTTCCCACAGCCTTTCAGAAATTGTCCCTGCATTTCAGGCATCACTGTGTGAGTCATGGAATCATTTGGGTTGGCAGTGACCTCTGAGGTGGAGTCCAACCCTTCCCCCATCCCTGCCAGGTCCCCACTGCCCCGTGTCCCTCACCCCACATCTCCACAGCTTGGAAACCCCTCCAGGGGTGGGGACTCCACCACTGCCCTGGGCAACCCTCCAGGGCAAGAAATTCTTCCTCAGGGCCAACCTAAACCTCCCCTGGTGCAACTTGGGGCCATTTCCTCTTGTCCTATCAATATATTTGTTCTATTCTTTAATTCCAAAGACACCAAGTTGCAGTTGGGGGGGGGAAAAATTGTCCTGAAATAATTTTCCAAGATAACAATAGCTTAATAACTTTTGGATGATAAATCCCTTTGTCATTGGAGTGTGTAGGTGTAAGATTGATACTAGTAATGCAACGTGTCCCTATTTTCAGAGTAGAGTTATTACTTCTTGATAATTGATGATCCATATAATTGAATAGGATTATTTTCATCTCTGTATTTGTTTTAGGAACAAGGTGGAGTGTAATACCTGTAGGTGTGTATTCTAGCTGTGGTTTCTGAGCAGTTGTAGTAAGCAGTATTTCATTTAGTTTTGATGAGTCTTTTTAAAGCAGTATTAATGCTTTTGAGGCCTTTTTACAAGGGCTTGGAGGGATAGGATGAGGGGTGATGGCTTCAGACTGGAAGAGGGGAGATTTAGACTGGAAATGAGGAAGATCATCTTCACTGTGAGGGTGGTGAGACACTGGCAGAGCTTTCCCAGGGAAGCTGTGGATGCTCCATCCCTGGATGTGTTCAAGCCCAGGTTGGATGGGGCTCTGAGCAACCTGCTCTAGTGGGAGGTGTCCCTGCTCATGGCAGGGGGTTGGAACTGGATGATCTTTCAGGTCCCTTCCAACCCAAACCATTCTGTGGTTCTGTGGTTGTTACATCTAGCAGCTGTTAAAACCAAACTGAACAGTCAGAACTGGCACTGGGGAGAGTAAACTCTGAGTGGAGCCTTAAAACTCCTCAGGATGTTTATTAGCTACTTCTGAAGAAACATGTGATTTCTGCAGTTGCCATGAGGGCTCCAGGTGCCTTTTCAGTGTTAGTCACACAGCTCAGTCAGGACAGCAATACTGCTTTGTTTTTTTTACTATAATCAACTAAAAATGCAGAATATTTGGGATATAGCCAATCAGTACCAGCACTGATGGCTCACTTGAGATTATTGGCTTTTTTAAATTATTTTTTTTAGGTATAAGCTTTGAAAAAACCCTAATTGGAGTAACTGCCAGGAGGAAACACTTTTCTAAGCCACTGCCTGGGGCTTTAGTGTATTTTTTGTGCTTGCCTATGTCCCATCAGGAATATGACTGATCACCTTCTGTGCCATGGGATGCTGCATGGATATATCAAGTGACTCGTCTGGGGCAGTATTTTTCTTACTTTGCTCTTATATTTGGCTAGGCACTTTTTAACTTGTACTTTTTCCACAGATTACACCACCTCCCTCACTGTCAGACCCACTCAAGGAGCTATTTAAACAACAAGAGGTTGTAAGGATGAAACTACGTTTACAGCACAGTATTGAAAGGGTAAGAATAAAGTGATTTATTTTTTTATTTCCCAGCTTTTAAGCTTTAGGGCTTTTCATTTTCAATGGGCCAACTATATTTTGCTCAATTCAGTAACAATTCAGGAGTAATCTGCCTTCTATCCAAATTTTTGAATTGGAGAAACTTCTGAATTGAAAAGAAAAAGGTTTGGACAGCTGTTGGGTGAACAGTTAAATCAGGAACATCAGAGCTTTTTCCTGTTAATTGCTCTAAGATGTGGCCTGGATTTTTCCCAGGGGCAGTGGGAAGAAAGCTGCAGACTCTAGTTTTGAAAGCTAATAATGGTTGTAGGCTTCAGAACCAAATGGAGTTAAAAGAATTGAAGCAAGAGTAAATTCTGTCTTGGTAGAAGACACACGTGGCTCTGGGACTTAAAACATTACCTACAATATTCTGCTTGTGAAAACTGCCTGAAATTGTTAGAACCACATCTGCAGGATTCACTGAATTTGGACACAGAAATTGAGAAGATGTTCTTGGTTTAAGAATATTCTGTATTTTTAGGTTGCTGAAACCATTTTCCTGGGCAGCCTAGATTTAGGTGTCTGTCAGTATTGTGCCAGGTTGCTCGTGGACACAGGCAGGACCCTTTGCTCATGGAGAATGTATCTGAAGAGCTTCCACACAAGCAGCTGGCTCATTAAAAGCCAATCTGGTGGTTGTTTTATGAGGCTGATTTCAACAGGGCTTTGCAAACCAATTGAGGGAGGAGTAAAACCTGAGTTCAGTTCTGCAGGGTAGAGCTAGAGTAAAATATCAAGCACAAAGAATGTAAATGTGGTTCAAGTGCTGACTGAAGATCAATTACTTGTAGCCAGAGGAAAGATGTGGCTTTTTCTGTTTGCCCAGCTCCTTACAATCCACCTTCTTTTCTTCTGATAAAAATTAGAGCTATTATGTTGCAGAGCAGTAAATGGATACACACATTCTTTTATGTCTTACAAAACTCTTCATATTTTAGTTATTTTCCTCAAATAGACTGCTCTTCAAATCCACTTAATACAATTATAAGCCAAGCTTGGCCAAATTTTTGTATTTTTATATATTTCTCTATATAATTTTTACATTTTCTTGTCTCAGTTCAGGAGATAGAATCCTTGTCCAGCAATGAATTTAGGGAGTTTCAAAAAACAGTTTAAACAATGAAAAATCAAAAATTATTTCAATTATCCTCCAAGTTTTATTTCTGCTTTGGATTGCTTGGCCATTGTATTTATGTATTTATTGTATTATGTGGCAAAAACCTTCACACAGTGGAGGCTCACAGACCTCCCTCCCAACCCTGTGCTCCTCCTACCTTCCATCTCCCACCTTCTTCATTGCCTGGAACCTGGCTCAGTACCAGTGTGTGGAAGACGTGGGCATGACCTTCAGCCATGGGTGGTGTTGGGAGAAGAAGGTGTCTTCAGTTCTGACCTTCAGGGAACACTCTTGGTTCCATCAAATTCAAATCAGGGATTTGAGGAGATGAAGAACCACTCCTCCCTCCAGCAGCACCTTGCTCACCCTGTTCTGAAGTGCAAGCCCTCCAAGGAAACGTTTAGGTGGACTTTATTAATGACTCAAACTTGAAATGCTTAATTGACCCAGCCTGTTGGTCTCTTATTGAACTAGGAGAAGCTCATTGTTTCTAATGAGCAGGAAGTCCTGCGTGTTCACTACCGAGCAGCAAGGACCCTGGCCAATCAAACACTGCCCTTCAGTGCCTGCACTGTCCTCCTGGATGCTGAGGTCTACAACGTGCCTCTGGATGCTCAGGTAAAGGGAGGAAGTTCAGCCAAAAAAGCTCTTTCTAGCTTGACCCAAAAGGAATCTCTGGAGAAAATTCTGTTCCCGTACTGAGGATTTGTCTGGAAGGAAGATTTTGGATGCGATAGATGGTTACTCACTTGGGTGTACAAGAAGGAGAGGCCAGGGGTGTGTGTGTGCTGGCTGGCTGCTTTGTACCATGTCTGGTCCTCCTTCACCTCCAAAAATTATGAGAAGGGTGGAATGAGAATGTTACTCTGCTGAATGTTAGGAAATAAAATTTGAATCATGAACAAAGCATATTTTGGAAGCTTACAAATAGAGCTTAAGCAACAAAAACCTGAATTTATAATACAGTGTTATACAATATGATACAGAATCATAGGATTGTCCTGGCTGCAGGAGACATTCAAGCTCATCCAGTCCAACCATCCCCCAGCACTGCCAGGTCCCCACTGCCCCGTGTCCCTCACCCCACATCTCCACAGCTTGGAAACCCCTCCAGGGGTGGGGACTCCACCACTGCCCTGGGCAGCCTGGCACAGCCCTGGGCAACCTTTTGGAGATGAAATTGTTCCTTGGGTCCAACCTCAACCTCTCCTGGGGCAACTTGAGGCTGTTTCCTCTTGTCCTGTCCCTTGTCCCTTGGGAGCAGAGCCCGACCCCCCCCTGGCTCCAGGCTCCTGTCAGGAGCTGTGCAGAGCCAGAAGGTCTCCCCTGAGCCTCCTTTGCTCCAGGCTCAGCACCCCCAGCTCCCTCAGCTGCTCCTCACCACATTTGGCCTCTAGACCCTTCCCCAGCTTCGTTGCCCTTCTCTGGAGATGCTCCAGCTCCTAAATAGCTGTGAGAGATCTGTAAGCAAAGCGTGGGTTTATTTTGCTGGAGAATGACTCCCTCAGAAATATTTTTGTGGGATTTCTGGATCTTTGGAGGCTTCCAGTTACATCTGCACATGTTGGGAAGCCCTTGAGAGCAGTGCTTTGCAGTCATACAGGCCACAGTGAATATCTTCTAGAGATTTCACTCTGTGTAGGGTTTATTGCTGCAGTGTACAAATTCCTGTCATTACTTTTTTCCCTAAAAAAGTGACAGCAGCTTGTTTTGTGTAGTGGTTGTGATTGAAATGTTAAATTGCCATAGCCTGGCTGTAGGACTATCTAGGGAGCACCTCATGTCTCACAGTGGGCCAAGGTGACGTTCCAGATTCTTACCAAACACTTTAATTAAAAAAATTAATCAAGCAGGACATAAGACATGCCTGCTCACTTTTTTTAATCACCTTTTGAGGATTTTGATGGTAAAAATATAAGTTTTTTATTTTTCCTTTTGACTCCTGGGGTAGGCAGTTAAGTCAGAGTGCTTAAGTTTTCCTTTATTCGTGTTTTTCCTTATCCCTGAGGGGATAATTCATTTAATTTGTTACTGAATTTTGGAGAAAACCAAGAAATAGCCATTTTGTGGAAGGGTCTGGCTTGTATTGAAGAAGACTTAAGGAATATATCTTTAAGCCTCCTCTAAATTTCAGAAACAGAGTACAGTAAGTAGCTTGAGGAAATCTGAAATTACCAGCAAAAGTGGTGGTCCACCTTTATAACTGCTCATATATACCTCGATCCTTTATTTTTCCACCTGAAATGGTTTATTAGGAAGGTCCCACACAGTAGCTTTTCCATTTTAAAGTGGGTTTTAAGAGTGAATCATCAAATAACTTCCAGTTGGAATAAAACTGGCTTTTTTTTTTTTTTGGCAGGCTGATGACAGCAAAACGTCGGTGAGGGATCGGTTCAACGCCAGACAGTTCATGTCATGGCTGCAGGACGTGGATGATAAGTTTGACAAATTAAAGGTGTGTTTCTTTGCCTTTCCACGTGGAGAAAAACCCAACCAACCAATTAATGTTGCTGTGAAGAAATAGTAGATTGGAAGGTGGTGGTATAGGCTGTTGCAGAGGGTTTAAGGGTAATGGAAAGGAGGGTCTAGCAGGAGGAAAACCAAACTTTTGTTGTTATATAGTGTAATGGAATAACCTGAAGTTTCTAACTACATAGCAGGGAGTTTGCTTCCAGCCAGTGAGGATGTTCCTACATATTTTTGTTTTCTATTTTCAAACTTATTGCAGTGTTTTAGCCAATATTGAAATCCCTTTTTTCCCCCCCCTCCCAAACCAGACGTGCCTTTTGATGAGGCAGCAGCACGAAGCAGCGGCTTTAAACGCGGTGCAGAGACTGGAGTGGCAGCTGAAGCTCCAGGAGCTCGATCCTGCCACGTACAAATCCATCAGCATCTATGAAATCCAGGAGTTCTACGTGCCCCTCGTCGACGTGAACGACGACTTTGAGCTGACACCCATCTGACAACAAACATCTTCTGGCTCAGCCCTTGCCCTGGATGACTAGAGGGGGTTGAGAGACAAAGGTGGTTTGCTTTTCAGACAGAGCACTTAATTCCATGGAGCTCCATTCCACCTTCCTCAAAATCCAGGTGTTCTTCAGGGACATGAGACACGCTGAAGATGGAGGCTAATGTAAAAAGTCAGTTTTCCAGTAACTGCCAGTTAAAAATTGCCTGTGGCTTTAGAGCTTATTGCTGAAAAAGATGAAACCCGGTGACTTAACAGCGCTGGAAGCTGTTAATAACTAAAACAGCCACCCAAAAAAAACCCCCAAATGATACTTAAAATCTGCTATAAAGCTTTGTATCCTGAAACTTCAGTAACAGCTGAACTCCCACAGAAAAAATGATGAAAAAGCCTGTGGAAGAAAATGTAAAACTTGGAGGAAAATAGTCTATTAATCTTATTCTATTTTGTAAATGACTGTACAATTTTCTTTTTGGAAAAAAGATGTAATATTGTCTTCATTTTGAAATAATTTATTTTATACATATTGTGCAAATGTAAATAGTCTTGTAATTAATGTCCAGACCTGTATAAAATAGATATTTTAACTTGTAAAACTGGTTTTGTCTAATGTTTTATTGGACCAAAGTTGTCGTTTTTAAGTGTCGTGCGTTTCTGGCTGGCAATTCATTTTTTGTTCTGTATGGCACGTGTTTGATTTCGCTGCTTGTTTCATCACCATAACTGTAAAAAACCACAACTTGACCTTTATTGCATGCTTCTGAGAGCCCCCAGCTCCTTGCCTTCAATATGAGACAACTGTAGCATTTACAAAATCATATCTCATACCAGTCTGCTCTTGTAATGCCATACTGACGACTTATTATATTGAAATATTTTTGTGTAAAACGAACAAAACCTTTTGCTCTTATATGGTGGTCTCGTAACAGAGCCTATTTTTTTCCAACAAAATGCCTTTGAATGAAAATTCTTAAATTGTATATTGTCTATTTTAATATTAATCTATGGGAGGGTATGTAAATAGTTGTACAAATGATGTTTAATAAATTTTATTGGTCATGTTATTCGTCGGAGTTTCTTCAGATAGTCACTGTTGGCCTCTCAAATCTCAGCATGCCTGAAAAACTAAAATAATTCCTGCATTGTGAAATTTAACCCTTTTTTTTTTTGGTATTCATAGCCCTGTTAACGAGCAGGCAGTTAATTATTTATTAGTAGGAGGTTGCAGGTATTCATGATGCAGATTTGTTACCCTCTAGTCCATCAATTATTCCAGAGCACTTGGGATCCGGTGTCTGTGAAGTTACTGCTGGAAGAAGTGGGGTGTAGGCAAGAGACCCCAAAAAGAGATTTGAAGTCCTTGGTTGGAACTGATTTTTAATGAAGAGGTGAGTTACCACAGAGCACTTACTGCTGCCCCTGTGGGTGCACAGGCTGCCAGCAAAACAAATTCAATGTGTTGTTTCTGCCCTCTGACTTTTTTCCCCCCACTTTTGATGATTTATTAGGTAGCTGAAGAAGGAGAGATCAGTCCTGCTTTTATACAGGGATCTCTTCCTGACATCACTCAGAATTCAAGAAATCTGAGGAAAATGCAAAGGTGATAATCTTCTGAACATAAAATACACTTCTGGAAGTAGCTGTAATATTTCACAGTAATACCAGAATCTCATTGCCTGCTTTAAAAGACAAGGAAAAAAAAATGGATGATGCTGCAAAGTGTGAACAACAATTAAGAGGCTGTGAGTTGACTTTCATCTGATAATTAGAGTAACAAAAAGTAACAAATATCTGAAAGTGGAACAACCTAATAGAGATTATTTTTTAAATTAGAAGTAAATGAAGACATTTGTTTTATTTAAGAACAGATAAACAGGATAAAAAGATTTTTTTTAAAAGATAGGTACAGGTGAGATAAACACAAAGTTCATCCTTGGGAAACCTCCAAAGAAGCATTTTTGTAATTAAAAATATGTTGGCAGTGTTCTTTCTTACACAGAGATCTAGAGACAGGGTTAGCCTGTGTCTTCTTTGTGAGGAGAAATTTCTTATTAGCAGGGCCTGTGAAACAGATTTTGGGTTGATTTGGGATTTTTTATCAATTTCACATGGCTTAGTAAAAATGTAGTTGCTCAAAGAAAGGGGACTGTCCAAATGATCCAGTCCCTGAGACGACAATCCTGGTGTCTCTGGTGTGAATCCAGGATCTGTTCCAGTCATGATTTGTTTTGTTTTTCCAGGTTTACCCTGTGGGATGATGCTCGGTGTGTTGTTCTGGGACGCTCTGCTGTGGATTTCCCTCCACAAAGTGGTGTGAGTTGGGAGCAGGAGGGCTGAGAGGAAATACAGTAAGGGCTTTTTGGGGAGAAGGTTGTGTCCCCCTAATGATGGTCTTGATGTCTCCAGCCTGAGGGCTACTCAGGGTTTCTTATTGTGGCTTTTCAGTACTTAGAGGGGGCAAGAAAGATGAGGACAGACTTTTTAGCAGTGCCTGTTGTGACGGGACAAGGGGTGATGGTTTGAAACTAAAAGAGGATTTAAACTAGAGAGAGGGGAGAAATTGTTGACGCTGAGTGTGGTGAGCCCCTGGCGCAGGTTGCCCAGAGAGGTGGTCGCTGCCCCATCCCTAGAACCATCCCAGGGGAGGTTGGACACAACTCTGAGCAACCTGCTCTAGCTGCAGATGTCCCTGCTCAGTGCAGGGGGCTGGACTCGATGACTTGTAAAGCTCCCTCCCCGCCCAAACCCTCCTGCGGTTCTGGCTACCCAGCCACGTTCCTCCTGCGCTTCATCTTCTGGGACCGAAGTTTGTTCCCCCGCTCTCCCGGCACGTAGGGGGCTCAACCCCCGCGCCCCAGCAGCGTTCC